CTCGGCGCCACCCCGCCCCCACCCTAGTTGCAACCTCATCCTCTGGCCCCAGCATGGCCCTAGGTCCCCCGTTCACCTTGGGGGGTGGGGGCAGGCAGCAGCTAGGACGATGGTTGGGGTGTCCCCAGGGGACCCCGCGACCGCCGGCCTGTTACCCTTCTCTCAACCCAAACCCAACCTCCCGTCCAGTTTTGGGAGGTGATCAGCGACGAGCATGGCATCGACCCCACGGGCACGTACCACGGGGACAGCGACCTGCAGCTGGAAAGGATCAACGTGTACTACAATGAGGCCACAGGTAGGCTGCCCACCTTCTGGAGCCGCCGCGGAGCAGCGGGGAGGGGACAGGATGCTCCCAGCCGCCTGCGGTTCCTGGCGTCCCCAACCTACTGTCCATCTGCCTCCCCGGCAGGAGGGAATTACGTGCCCAGAGCCGTGCTGGTAGACCTGGAACCCGGCACCATGGACTCTGTCCGCTCAGGCCCCTTCGGCCAGATCTTCCGGCCCGACAACTTTGTGTTTGGTGAGTCTGTCTCCGCCAAGCCTTATCCTCATTCTGCCCACTTCCAAATGCTCCATGGTGAAAATGCACCTAGCCCCTCGGTGGCAACCACAGGGACCCGACATCCGTGGCAGTCAGGGCTGGGAGCGGGGAGGCCCAGGCCACTGTGGGAGCTCTAGGGAGGCATCTGACACAGCCAGGAATCAGGGAGGGCTTCCTGGAGGAGGTAGCGTGTTTTTAATTCGACAATCTGGACCAGAGCCATACTGCCTGGGTGTGAATTCCAACTCTTCCACTTCATGAAGTAGATAAATAGTTAATCCTGTTTCAGAAGCCGTGGATGGGGGGGGTACAAAACAGTCCGCGTCATTGCCCTGGTCGAGCAGACATCCTGGTGGAAAGAGACAGGCAAGGGAGGAGATAAAAAAGACTGCTACGGATCAAGACTGCTGGGTCACGTTGGACCAACTCAGTTTATTTATTTATTTATTTTATATAGAGAGATCTGTGCTCACCAGGGAGAGACAGAGACAGACAGCAAGAATTCACTCCCTGGGGGGATGGTCACGCCCCAATCCCTTCTTCGTTCTCCTCTTGGGATTTTGGGCACGCACGCACACATGCCCAGCGTGAGTTTTAAGCTGCTGGGTCCGGGACTCAAACTGCAGTTGACTACATGGGAGTCCAGCAATGTAACCATTATGCCACCTGCTGGCCCCAATAATCCCTGTTTTAAGGATGAGAATCCTCAGGCACAGAGAGGTTAATAAGTCACCGTCTGGGTGTGTGTGGGGGGTGACTCCTCTCTTTCTGTCTCTCCGTCTTTCTCTGTCTCTCTGGCAAGCACCAACACCCTATAGCAAAAAAAAAAAAAAAAAAAAAAAAAAAAAAAAAAAAAAAAAAACCTCTTAAAATGAACACACACACCAAAATCAGGGGTTATTATCAAATGTCTGCTATTCAGGATGGTGGGGCTCACGGCCCTTCATTTCTGAGTCGAACACAATGCCCGACACAGAGGACAAGGTAAATAAGCAATTTGTGATTGTTCTCTTTCCTTTGTAAGTTTGTTTTATTCCTTATACAGAGTACAAGCATGCGCACTAGAGGGACAGAGAGACGCACCCGTAACTGGTCTCTGCGTGCCAAAACCCTCTTCCTCGCCCTCCAGCTGTTTTTTATTGATTTATTTATTTTCAAGAGCTTTTTGCTATAGGGCGCGTGTGCTCGCCAGAAAGACAGAAAGAAACAGAGAGACAAAAAGCGAGAAATCACCCCCCAGGGAGGATGGCCACGCCGCAATCCCTTCTCCTCCATTCTCCTCTCGGGATCTTGGGCACGCACGCACACGTGCCTGGCGTGAGTTTAAGCCACTGGGTCCGGGACTCGAACCACGGTCGACTACGTGGGAGTCCAGCGACACAGCCTTGACACCAACTGCTGGTCCCATAGCCCTCCAGCTCTTCAGGATCTCAGAGTGGGCACATGTGACCAGGGGTTAGAGGACGACCCGGGGACCTGAACCCACAGTCAGCCGTGCAGCTTCCAGCACTGCAGTTCAGTTTATGACCGACTGTGCCCCGAGGCTGGGCCTGCTGTCTTGGTATGGTTGTCTCTGCAGCCTCTGAGATCAGTGGGACTTGGGCTGACCAAGGGGCAAGACAGAACACAGCAGATGCCAAGACGGTGGGCACATTTTCAGCTCTTAACTGAGGGCATTCGCGCCGTGACCGTCCTTCTGGGTCAGGCTGGCTGTACACCTGCCCTGGGCCTCAGGCCCCAGGCTCCATCCTCTCCCAGTTCCTAGCACCCCTCCTCCTGTGAGGGTGGTCCTTGAGAGTCTGCAGTCCAGGGACTGCAGAGACATGCTGTGTGACCTTGGCCAAGTGACTTCCCCTCTCTGATCTGTATGGAGATTCTCAAAGGGAATGCTGGACCTGCGTAGGTGTGGCCCATAATGGGGCATCAAGAAATGGCCGTGGAAAGACCAGAGGAAATTGGCCAAAGGACATGAGGGATTCTAGGATGGCCATGGGTGGCTCCTGGCAGGTGGCTCAAGAGAGAGTCCACAGCCTCTGGGAGGTGGGGAAGGACAGATTCAGGAGCCAGAACACTTGGGCGAATGCCAGCCACCCCACTCACTCTGTGGGTGACCTAACCTTGTGTCCCTGTTCCGTCACTGTGGGGTGCAAGGAAGGAGCATCTACGTGAACCTCAGAGAGCAGGAGGACAGGGTCAGACACAGGGCACGCCTGCAGCTCACGCATGCCGGACACTCGGCACTGGCTGTCCTTGAGTAAGGACAAAGCCCGCCGTGTGCACACGCTGGGGGGGACTGAGACAGACAAGCAGAAAACCAAGAGACACAGAACGGGGGCCAGCAGATGGCATGGCGGTTAAGGCGCTGGACTCCCACATGGCCGAATGTGGTTCCAGGCCCAGACTTGGCGGCTTCCCTTCTCACTTTCTCTTTCTCTCTTTGTCTCTGGTCAAATTAAAGCATCATAATAACAATCTTAATAAAAAATAAGTAATTCATTTTTTAAAAGAGTTAAAGATATGATATAAAAATAGATACGAGCTAGAATATCAATACACAAATGGATATGGACATAGATATGGGGACAGATGGACACATAGACAGGACTTAGGCGTGGACATGGACTAAGGTATGGAGAGGAGACGGGTACAGGTGTGGATGTGGACATAGGTGTGGACGTGGACATAGACGTGGATGTGGACATAGACGTGGATGTGGACATAGACGTGGACGTGGACATAGACGTGGATGTGGACATAGGTGTGGATGTGGACACAGACGTGGATGTGGACATAGGTGTGGACGTGGACATAGACGTGGGTGTGGATATAGGTGTGGACGTGGACATAGGTGTGGACGTGGACACAGACGTGGATGTGGACATAGGTGTGGACGTGGACATAGACGTGGGTGTGGATATAGGTGTGGACGTGGACATAGGTGTGGACGTGGACACAGACGTGGATGTGGACATAGGTGTGGACGTGGACATAGACGTGGGTGTGGATATAGGTGTGGACGTGGACATAGGTGTGGACGTGGACATAGACGTGGATGTGGACATAGGAGTGGATGTGGACATAGGTGTGGACGTGGACATAGGTGTGGACGTGGACATAGACGTGGATGTGGACATAGATGTGGATGTGGACCTAGACGTGGACGGGGGTGTGGACATAGACATGGATGTGGACATAGACATGGACGTAGACGTGCATATGGACATAGGTGTGGAGATGAGATGAATATAGACATGGATGAGTGGGACAAGCCTGTGCAGAAAGGTAAGATGAGGTAAGGGGATGAAGAGGATGTGGGGTCCCTTGTAAACCAGGGGCCGTGGGCAGGGCGGGGTTGAGGGTGGGGGCGCCTATAACCAGCTGTGTGTCCCCCCCCGTCCCCTCCCGCTCAGGCCAGTCGGGAGCCGGCAACAACTGGGCCAAGGGGCACTACACGGAGGGTGCCGAGCTGGTGGACGCCGTCCTGGACGTGGTGCGGAAGGAGGCCGAGAGCTGTGACTGCCTGCAGGGCTTCCAGCTGACCCACTCGCTGGGCGGGGGCACGGGCTCAGGCATGGGCACCCTGCTGATCAGCAAGATCCGCGAGGAGTTCCCGGACAGGATCATGAACACCTTCAGCGTGGTGCCCTCGCCCAAGGTGTCGGACACGGTGGTGGAGCCCTACAACGCCACCCTGTCTGTGCACCAGCTGGTGGAGAACACGGACGAGACCTACTGCATCGACCACGA